GGCTAATTTTTTCTACATGTATTTTTAGCTGTCCAATTAATTTCTTTCCATTTTTTGGTAGAGACGGGGTCTCACTCTTGCTCAGGCTGGTCTCGAACTCCTGAGCTCAGAACGATCCACCCGTCTCGGCCTCCCAGAGTGCTGGGATTACAGGCGTGAGCCACCACGCCCGGCCCAGTACCATGAATTTGTATAGGTTAGAGGGCAACTTTCATATATATTATGAAATTTGAATCCTAACAACCACCTTGTGAGTAGGGTAAGTACTTATGAGTAGGAAGATTAAAAACATGAATATAATACAGTCCTGTACATAAAGAGCTCATAGCATCTAGGATATGGATCAGTACAGTAAACTACTGTAGATGCTATGATAGTAGCATGTACTGTGCACTATAGAGCAGAAAAGTCACTTCTGCCTGACAGGGCTGGGAGAAGTTTTGGGCAGGAGTTGATGTCTGAGCGTCAGTCTTGAAAGATAGAGGATATTCTGCAGGCAGAGAGCAAGCAGGAGCAAAGGTGGAGTGTGATTCAGCCTGGTGAGGCCGTAGGCTGGGAGGCTAGGGCAGAGGAGAGGCAGGCCAGGCAGATTTTGGAGAGTGCTGCTTGCCACCTCTGGTCTCCATTCTGTCAGCATTTGGACATTGGAGGTCCAGTAGAGTTAAGAGGTTGTATTTACCTTTTAGGAAGATGACTTTGGCCACTATGCGGAAGTGAGGCTGGGAGCAGGGAACTTGGCAATTAATGGAGTAGAAGGCCATGGGATGCAGAAGAGGACTAAAGAAGGCTTGTCTAGGAGGTGGAGTTGACGTGACTGAGGCCCTAGTTGTAGGTTGGGTGAGTCTGGGTGTCTGACTTGGCTGACAGTAGTGCCATTCATGAGATGGGGACTGCCTGAAGAGCAGTGAATATGAAAGGAGAGACAGTTTGCTTTGGATTTAGTTGGTTTGAAGTACTTTTGGGAATGTCTAGATATAATAGCTAAGATTAGTTATCTCTTGCTGCATAATGGTACTATCACAAACTTAGGGGCTTAACCAACACACATTTATTATCTCAGTTTCTGTGGGTTAGGAGTCAGGCCTGAGCGGGGCTCACTGGTTTTTGTCAGCACTTGTGTGTTCCTGCTACCGGACTCTGTCCTGCTGTGGCTCACAGCATGGCAGTTGATGCATCAAGGCCCGCAGGAGAAGAGCTTCTCATAAGACCAGCACCGCAAACTTGCGTACTGCCATTGCACAAGTGTCATCCCCCACCTTTGCCATATTCCCACCTCTAGTTAAAAAAAACAAGCCATCGGTCCCATTCACACTCATGGGGAGGAGCCCCCACAAGGGAGAATCTGTCTGCCACGTGACTGGTGTTATTCTCACTTTACAGAGAACAACTTGCTGGAAGTCGGGTTATAGTCAGTGATGGATTTGGCCTGGATTTGAATACATTTTGACAGCAGTGCGTGTGTGTGTGTGTGTGTGTGTGTGTGTGTGTGTGTGTGTGTGTGTGTGTGCGCGCGCGCGCGCACGTGCGCTCTTAGCTACCCCTCCTATGTCTGGCCTTTGGCAGAAGGGAATGGATGGAGGTGCTAGATTTAGGAATTATTGATTTGTAGGTAGTGAAATCACAGGTGTGGAAATGTTAATGTCCGTATGAGCCATCTGGGGATCTTGTTAAAATGCATGTTCCAAATCTGTAGGCATCAGGTGGGGGCTGAGAGCCTGCATTTCTCAGAAGCTCCCAGGCTGCTGCAGACCACACAGTAGAAGCAGGGACACAGATGAGATTGCTTAGGGTGACTGTTCAGGCTGAGAAGAGGCCAAGGAGAGAGCTTCGGGGTGAAAAGAAGGTCAAGAACAGAATGCTAGAAACACCAGTGTTTTCGAGGAGGGTGGTAGAAAGGAGGGATGGGGAGATCTCTCCACTCCCTCTCCCACAGGCACGTTAGGTGCTTCAGTTCTGCCCGAGATATTCAGTGGAAGGCATAGAGGAACCTAGTTGAAAACTCTGATCATTATCCTTTATTCTGTATTAGTTTTCTAGGGCTGCCACAACAAATTACCACAAACTGGATGGCTTAACACAACAGAAATTTGTTCAGTCACAGTTCCAGAGGCCAGGAATCCGAAGTCAGGGTGGTAGTGGGGCTGTGCTTCCTCTGAAATCCTTCCTTGCCTCTTCCAGCTTCCGGGAGCTCTAGGAGTTCCTTGCCATGTGGCAGTGTCACTCCAGCCTCTGCCTCTGTGTCTATAGGGCCTTCTTGGTGTCTTTGTGTTTTTCCTCTTCTGTCTTTTGTGACGATACTGGACATTGGATTTAGGACCCACCCTATATCCAGGATGGATCTCATCCTGAGGTCCTTAGTTACATCTGCAAAACCCCCTTTTCTAATGATTAGGGTCACATTGACAGGTTATGGGGGTCAGGACTTGGACATATTCTTTTGATGGCCACTATTCAGCCCAGTACAGAGGTAAGCACAACTTGATTGTGAGCAGTATGAAAAAAATTTAAGTGCAGTGATGTGTGGACATTTACTAATTTTATTTCTGAAATTTTTAATGTGAATTGTTTTTTTTTTCATTAGGAAATACGCAAAAGCTGAAACTCTCATGACAGTCACTGATCCTGTACATGATATTGCATTTGCTCCAAATTTGGGAAGGTCTTTCCATATTCTAGCGATAGCAACCAAAGATGTGAGAATTTTTACATTAAAGCCTGTGAGGTGAGTTTTAGAAGTAGTTACGAATTTGAAAATACTCTTGCCTGCTGATTATTTGTGGAGGAGAGAGTAGAGGTAACTATTATCCAAGGAATGGATTCCCTTTTTTTTTGGTCTTGCTCTGTTAGAGTACAGTGGTGTCATCATAGCTTACTGCAACTTCAGACTTCTGGGCTCAAGTGATCCTCCTTCCTCCTGAGTAACTAGAACTAGAGGTGCACGCCACCACGCCTGGTTAATTTTTAAAATTTTTTGTAGAAACGAGGTCTCAAATTTCTGGCCTCAAGTGAACATCCCACCTCAGCCTGCCAGAGTGCCGAGATTACGATTACAGATGTGAGCCACCGTGCCTGGCCCAAGAATGGATTCTTTATTGAACATTTTGTGTGTAAAATGACTTTTTGGGATGGGGTATTGAATAAAGAGAGGAGATTTATATTAATTGTGTTTTTTGTTTTATTTCTTTTTTGAGACAGAGTGTCTCTCTGTCACCCCAGCAACCTCAAACTAATGGGCTTGAGTGAGCCTCCTGCCTCAGCCTCCTGAGTAGCTGGGACTATAGGCATGTGCCACCATAGCCAGCTAATTTTTCTATTCTTTGTAAAGAGAGGTCTTGCTTTTGCTCAGGCTGGTCTCAAACTCCTGAGCTCAAGCAGTATTCCTGCGTGGGGCTCCCTAAGTGCTAGGATTGAGCCACTGCACCCAGCCTTAATTGTGTTTTATTTAGGCTGATACTAACAGTGAATTGGATTCTCTGAATATAATTGGTACTGTGTATATTTTTAAATGAATGAGAAGTGGCAGCCTACTTAGGGAAAACTAAATTAGCATTGAGATATTCTTGTGAAGAAATATTTACCTTTAATTCTAAATTGTGAGTTTTAGTTTTTTTTCTTCTTTTTTTCTCTTCTTTCCATTCTTCCATTCTTTCCTTTGAAAATTAATTATCATCAATTTTATTTTTCAACCTTGTTTGGGGAAATAAAATCTACTTTTGTTTTTCTTTCTTCCATGAAATAGTCATTGAGTATCATTTCTGTGTGCTGGGATCACTCCAGGTCCTGGGGAGTCAAATGAAAATGACATTCATTGGCCCAGCTCAAGGGCTAAGGGGTGGGGGAATACAAATGTGCACATTATTATAAAATAATGTGGTAAATATGTGAGACCATTTGTAATTTTTATTTAGAACACTATGTATATACATACA